TTAAAAAAAAAAAAACTAAAGCCAGCTTGCTGTCACCCATCCCTGCCCCTGCCAACAGCACTCCAATTATACAAAGTCCCCAGACACTCAGGACACTTAGCACCCATGTTCCCTTTTCACTAGTAGAAAGAGAAGGCAGAAGATAGAACAAAGGAATAGAAGCAGACTCACTCAGACCTGGCCACTATCAAATGTTTGTCTCCTGGATTCACTCAAACTGCAGAGCAGGGAAATCCTTACCCCATGGTTGCTGTGAAGGTGGCAGCAGTTCTCTGGGTTCTCACCAGGACAGGCTCCTCAGAATCCTGTCTTCTAACTCTGCTGTCTTGTGGACTTGCACACCAACTGGACTCTCAGAGAAGGGCTGGGAGACAGCTCTGTGAGCTGTGGTGTGTGTGTGTGTGCTTTTATAGTCACAGTAGGAAGCTGAAAGAGAAAGTGAAACTAAAGCCTGCAGGTTTCTCCTCCTGGAAACTGAAACTGGAAAGTGAAACTAAAGCCTGCAGGTTTCTCCTTGGGGAAAAAGAGCAAACGGGGATTGGCCTTCTGCTTTCTCCTCTGAACCAATGGAGAGAAGGCTCTGGAAGAGACTGACATGTGAGTTCCATTCTGCTCTCCAGAGAGACATCTGTGGTACCAGGACATGCTGTTAGGCAGGGGTTGATGGAGGTGATGTGGACATGAAGACACAGACTGGCATCTCCACAAGCACCATTGTTCCTCAGTCAAAAGAACTGCAGTTCTGCACTGTCTGCTTGGAACTGAGACCACACTCATGCATTTGATGGCAAAGGGGAAGTTTGGGGATGGAGGAGTCGATCTGCAGGTTAGTTTTGTGCAGTCTAGAAGGGGTATACTCCAGCTGGTGTGGTGTGTGGCTGTCCTCAGGAGCTACTGCAGGTGTGATTATTCAAGTCCCCTTCCCTCTGCAGAGCTTCCCAGTCTCCCTGAGGCTTTAGTAGTTTACCCTTCATTAACTAGGCCAATTTCCCAGAGCCTACAGTCATGGAGTCTTGCTTTCTGTTACCATCTCCTGAGGTGTCTGTTTATTAAGGACTCTTGCTAACAGTCACAGCCACATAAACAAGAGCCAAGCATGGAATCTCTAGAGAATGCTGTATTCACAGCCTTGATGCTATCCTATGCGAAAGGCTGAGACCAGTGTAGGAATGTGTCTGTGTGGTAGTTAGGTGTGTGACACAGTTTAAATGCTTTTTATAAAGCCTGCCTCCTGGGATCAGTCACCAGAACCCTTAGTGGTAGAGAGAATTAAATCTAAAAGGTTATACTGTGACCTTGACAATAGAAGGTGGGGCTCAGATTGGTCCAGGCGGAGGTCAAGTCTCTTGGTCTCTTGTCTTGGTTCCTTGGTAACCTACTTTCACAGCCCTATTGTCTGCTTGCTTAGCCTGGCCGTCCATTGCTGTGTCCCTAAATATAGCTCTTTCTTCACTCCTCCAAATATAAAAAAAAAATCATTGAAAGGGACTTAAATATCTAACTCCATCTCCTTGATAGATTGATAAACTCTCCTGAAAGTTTCCCTGACCAGAGAGTTTTATCCCTAAACCTCAATCAGCTGACACCAACAGGAGTTTGAGGCTCCTTGGCCACTTTCCCAGTGAAGTTTAATTATGAAGAAGATGGAGGTATGTGTCTGTGTGGTAGTTAGGTGTGTGACACAGTTTAAATGCTTTTTATAAAGCCTGCCTCCTGGGATCAGTCACCAGAATCCTTAGTGGTGGAGAGAATTAAATCTAGAAGGTTATACTGTGACCTTGACAATATGTCATGGCACATTTGCTGAGGGCCGAGGCTGTATATGACAGGTGACAACTAATGTTTGACAGGTTGACCCACCAGATGTTTAACTCCCTGATGGGGAGCCCCCCTAATATTAACAGCTGTGGGGTGCTTTCTACAGCCTTTTGGTAGTGTGTTTTACATCTCTCGGCACACATTTAGCTGTGGATTTCTGTTTAAGCTGTATATGTCTGATGAACAGAAATATTACCTGTGTCGTCTTTACTGACACAGGAAAGTAACAGTGTTCTGTATCCATGACAGCCTTTAACTCATTTTATGAAGACCTTAGAACAAGTCCAAAACAGATTAATCTACCCCTACAGAAAATATACAAAGATTAATTCCCAGTGTTGTTAACTGCTAAACAAGGCCAAGCTATTTACATCAAGACAGAGTCTTGTGGTAGCTCCCTTTCTTCATGTCCCCTGACCACACAGGCTTCAACCAATGGTTTAATGTCTGGGACCCCTCACCAACTTAGAGCTGCATGCATGGAACAGCGTGACATTACTATCCTAAGAGAAGCTACATGACTTATCTTGTGTTTTGAGAATGGGTAGGGCTCTGAAAATATAACTTAAAATTGTCCAGATTTGGCTGTGGAGCAGCAGGTGTGTGTGTGTGTGTGTGTGTGTGTGTGTATTATGTCACCCATGCTTGTTTCTTGCACAGCTGTGGAGGGCACACCTCAACTTGCTATAGTTCCATCTATGTGTTGGTTATTCACAGCACTCTTACCCTGCGAGGAAACGTCACAAAACAACAGAATCCACTAAGAAGAGTTTTATTAAGATAAGGTAAAGAGACAGAGGTGCACAGGCCTGTGGAAAGACTCGTGAGTAAAGATGGAGCCAGGAATCATGGCGCAGGCTTATGAAGGCTGGGCCGTGCCTGCGCACTCAGGCCCATGTGGCTATTCCACGCATGCGTGTAGATCACATGGTTGCGCTGTGCACTTTACGCAACCAGGCAAAGCCACGGGGTCCTGGTCATGCGAGACATTTTGACCCAGAAATGGCTAAATAGAAATGACTAGGTCCGCCAGGCATGCGCGACTATGCCCAACCATGGGGGTGTGTTGTGAATCCATATCATCCCAGACTCTTGTTTTTTTTTTTAGAAAAA